GAACCCGTCGTTCCGCGAATTATTTAAACGCCATTTTCTCAAAACCGGCCCAAATTTTTTCCTTCAAACCTTTCGAACATAAACTGCCTATTTAAGATGACATAAAATTCATTTCGTTGTATTCTCTTAAATATCTCGCCTTTCATATGTACATTCCCAGCGATTTGTATAAGTTTTTTACATTTGCTAGTGGAAGTTTAATTGGCTACCAATGAAGAGATTATTCGAAAACTCATATGTAAAAGGGCTTCAAATTTCGCTTAAAACAATAAGACAAATTGTTTCCTATGTATGAAAGAAAATCTTGGATAGCTTTCACCAAAACAACTACCAAAAACGACCTGCACTAAAGTTATGAAAACTCATAATTGACCTACCTATACCAAACTTTTGCGTAACTTCAAACTCGCATCAGCCAGGTTATTCAATAAACTTCCTTCTGTTATTTGGAATTTGGAGAATAAAAGATTTAAAACTCAATTAAAAATGTGCTGATCTGTAAAGATATTTTTGGCAATGAAGAATGCTCAAATTTCAATTTCTAAGCTGGATACAACAATTATCATTAGCTCATGGAAAATATAAAATTACTCAATGCTATGACATAATATAATAAAATTTGGTGATACATTGTTATGCACAAATGTGTATATACATTTTTGTGATGTATTTTAATGCTACATTGTTATAAGTGTGAACTTGACAAGTGTGGTATGGATTGTGTAGCATCTTCAGAAACAAAAATGAAAGATAACATTTCAGAACAGATGAATGGGAGTACACAGTCACACGAGGGTACCAAAAGAGGAGGGACGTTGTAGTGGTGTGTCATTGGCAACAAGACAAAAGTACAGGAATAACATTAAAGCAGACATTAACATATAACCTAAGAGCAGAAAAATTATCAAATGTTACAAGTTGAATTGGAACTTCACAATTATACAGTTGTCATAATTGCTGTAATGTAAATGCCCTTAATGACAATGTCACAGTAATTGTAAAAGAAGAGATTTATTGTTTTGCAAAGCTGCTGGGAACAATCAGTAAATGTTAAAGAAATAATCTTTGAGGACATCAATGACAGAAGTGGCTGTCCAGTGAGTGATCAGGTGATGGGTCCAAAACAAGCCTCTAAGATAATGGAAAACGATTAATTGAGCTTTCAACAGAATGTCTTGAAAATAACAAATGGATGATTTTAACAAAGTCATTCACCAGTACAGTATTTGGCACACTCGGAAATTGTGATCAATAGACATGTCATGAACAGTCACAATTAGGGTGCAGGAATGGGGTAAGTATTACAAAAGGCTTTGAACTCAAGATAGAATACAGTTTATGCAAGCCTAGCAATGAGAAGTGCCACAAAACAGAAAAACCAATAGTGCCTATTGTTACAGATGAAACAAGAACAGCTTTGCCTCTCATGAAGAACAGAAAGGCTTGTGGGCCAGGAAACATCAATCCTAAAACTCTCCCAATGTTTCCTAACAGCAGCACATGACAGTGTGGTGAAAAGCAAAATGATCTACCGAGTGAGTGGAAGAAGACTTTTGTTACTCATTGAGTTATGACTCAGCATGAAGGTAAGAGGTATTGACACAGCCTCATGCTACCAAAACATTATGCAGTAATGCATTAAATAACAATGCATTTAAATAGGGAAATAAATTCCTGGTGAGCAAGGGGCTAAGACAAGGCTGCTCATTACCCTCACTGTTATTCACAATATATCTTGAAAAGGCATTTAGAAAGTGAAAAAAGAAGTGTGGTGGAATGAGACTGCTAATAGACAAAAACTTACTGTATTTTGCTGTTGGTCGATGATCAAGTGGTTATGGCTGGAGATGAAGATAATGCGAGTTACATATTTTGCAAATTACACGAAAAGTATGAAAGGTGGAGACTTATCATAAAACAACAACTGAATTCATGATCGTAGGTGACAAAAGCATTTTATTTAAAAATGAGTTGACTATAAAAACAGTGCAAATTTTGTTACTGTACATTTAAAAGACACAAATAAGTAAAAATTTATATTACTAATTGCAGAAATTAAAAAAAAAATTTAAAAAAAAAAAAAAAAAACTCCAACAAAGAGTATGGGGAAAAATAAAAAAATAATTAAACCGTTTCAGTTTAGACTGAAAATGCATATATTAGATTGTTATTCTGCCAATTCTCATATTGTGTATAGTGACAAATTCACATATTGTCACTATACTCACTCAGGTTCACGATATTCACTCAGGACATCACTAAGTATTTTCTATTTGCATATTAATAATAATAATCATATTTTATTGAGCCTCATATACAATTACAATCATGTACGACGAGTCAATATGATGTCTTGGGTGCAGAAAGTGAAGTAACATTACTGTCCAGAAGCAAAACAAGGGGCCATCTCGGCATTTACTTATAGGACTATGGAAACTGGAAAAAAGAAAAGAAAAGAAAAAACACACACACACCCTGATCAAGACAGGGTCATTGGCCTAGGAATGACACCACAATACTTATTACAGATAGTAGCAAAATAATTTAACATTTGCAGATTTGTACTGTTTAATGTTTAAAGTAAAAGTAATATTTACAAGTTATTGTCATTTTACTGCTACTATAATAATAATATAAATAATAATCATAGTAGTAATTGGTGATATCAATTATGGTAACAACTACATATAATTTTACAATATTAGTACATTCAATGTTTAGATCTTGAAAAGGTGAGGTTTAAGAGGCAGGTTAAGGCCAGTTTTATTCTATATCTATACCTAGTCCTACTGCAGCACCTGAAATGAGATTGCACATAGTTACTAAAATATTCTTGAGCACTATAAAAAAGTTTTTGCCCAAGGAAGTGTTTACGTTTATTTTTGAAGTTGTGTAATCCTGTTATGTTTCTCAAATGTATTGCTAATTTGTTGAAGAATTGTACTCCTGTTTAGAACGTACCCATTTGGTAGTTACTCAAGCACAATGGTTGATGAAGGATATATGCTTGCCTTGTGTTGTAAGAGTGTAAGCTCGAGTTAAATTTGTATGTTACAATTTGCTTATCACATTTTTTTTTACAAACATGAGAACTTCATAAATGAATATACACAGCAGGGGAAGTATGTTAAGGTTTTGGAATTGAGTTCTATAGAACTGTTATTTTTGTATTTGTTATTGTCCAGATGATTCTCTTTTGTATTTTGAATGTTTGCTTGACTTCTGTGCTTGGCCTCAAAAAGTATTATTCTAGATTTGAGAATAGAGTGCACATTTGCGATGGATACTGTTCGGACTGTTTCAATGGTGTTGTTTCTTGTTATTGTTCTAAGTGCATAAATTAAGTTTGCTCAGTTTTGAATTAATACCTTCTAATTGAGAGTTCCATTTGAGGATGGATTGTAAGGTGATTCCGAGGAATTTTGTTTTCTGTGCTTGTGTGAAACTGTGGACTTCTAATGTTAAATTTCGTGTGTATTGTTGTACCGAGTAGGAGATGTGGAAGGACATTGTGACTTTTGTCTCCATTTGGGATAAGTTTGTTTTGGTTAATCCATTCAATTAGTTTGTCAATGGCTGAATTGGCTTTGTATTGTAAAACTTTGGTTGTTCTTTCTTTAAATATTATATTAGTGTCATCAGCAAAAAGTACAGTTTTGTTGTTTTCCATTATTGATGGCAGGTCCTTTACAAATATAAGAAATAAAATCAGGGTGAGCGTGGATCCTTGCAGTACCCCATAGGTCACATGTCTTAGTTCGGAGTGATTTTTTTTTTTTTTTTGGTTGCCTTTTTGGTAAGGTAACACTCACATTTGTTTTCTTTCTGTTAGATATGATTTTATCAACTTGTAAGCTAAGTATTACGAAACAGAAACAGTTGATATTCTGGGTATATAAAGAACTGTTGTACTTGGTATATACTGTAAGTTATTTTACTACAATTCAAGAATAATGTTTTTATAAAAATATTCAATTCAAAGCACTGTTATCAGAGTATTTCATTTGTTGTTGTTGAGCAGTGCGCTTGCTACTTTTTGCAAAAACCATTTTGTGAGGTTTTCTTCAGCAGTGTTTTTACTCTTGCAGATCTTTGGTCTATTACATCTTCATTTTGTGAGTTAAAGCATTTGCACACATAACAACTTCAAATGATCTCATAGTACATTTCTCAAAATATCCTCAGTTTCTTAGTGTTAGCTAGACAAAAATGGCACATACTTAAAACTACTTTAATAAATTTTCTGAAAGGCAGCTCTCATTTTCTGAAAAATTTTTATGTGAAAAGACCTGTATTACAAGATGATATTCTGAATCTAATTTTGATTAGGCCTACACAATCAAAAATTTGAGAACTTAAGAGAGCATAAAAAAATACCTTATTTGATTTAACACAATATCTAAATAACTAGTATGTTACTCAAAGAAAAAAACATAAGTGTTCTGTCAAATATTTTCCAAAAAAATAGTATTCTACCAGTTTCTTAAAACTTTATTACTCGTGTTGTCAAGCTTCAGTCATTGTTCATAAATGAACACTATTCTTTGTTTCTCACTGTATTGGACACTGGTGTTGAATTGCAAAATGGGTAAATAGTCCACTCTAGTACTTAATTTGGTGATCAAAATGACCTTCCTACACATCATCATAAATGGCATCAATTTTGCTACTGCTGCTAGAAGCACCTCAAAAATCACACATCATGCGACTCATGGAACTTAGTAGAGTTGTACCATTATCAAAATAAACACACAGTAATCTTCAGTGATTTACTATTTTAAAATGCAATCTGTTGCCTACAGACATAACTTGGGAGTATAAAACATTCAGTGAAGGAAAAAAAAAACAAAAGAAAAAAGTTAACTTTTGGTATATTTATCACAGACAAAGAATAACAGTCTCTTACACCAAGGTATAAAATACATAGATATCATAGAGAAAATCCTTTTCAAATTATTACAAATATATTGATATCAAAATGAAAATTCTTTGCAAAATCATTAATAATCATAATTCTTTAGAAGTGCTACCCTTGATGGTAGGACTCTTTCACGACACAAAGGACATACAGGCTTCACTCGAACTGAATCAATTATACAATTCCAACAAAATAGGTGACCGCAAGGTGTTGCACTAGAATTTTTTCTTTTCTCCATACACAAATAACAATACATATTTGAATCTGTTTTTTCTGAAACAACACTTTCTGTATTCATTTCCTCATTACATACACGCTGCACTTTACGCCATTTATCAACGGCACTGAAAACAGCATGACTGAATGTAATTAGCCCAAGAAGTCTGAAGTAATTTGACACTTTTTCATCTCTTAACCAAGGTCGCACAAGCACATAATGTATGCCAGTAGTCCACATTGCTATATCATAGAATGATCCAGTCAAATAAAATACCCCATTTCGAATAATCTCTAACACACTTAATGCTTCTTTCATGATAAATATTTTCTTTGCAGCTAGCAGTTTATCCTCAGTACTTCTAAAAGAATTCACATCTTTGAGAGACTTTTCCCTCAACTTAAGTAGATAAGGCATTATATGTGGTCCCAAAATCCGCAGCAATACCATACAAAGTAAATTAAAACTGGAAGGTGTTGAAAGGTTAGATCGTGATAAAACAACCCCAACATATTCTTCTCCAAGTGTTTGATACTTAGAAAGTGATGTATAATTATAGTAACAAATTTGAGCAATGACAGGATGAAGTGTTCTTAAATGGTTCAAAATTCCTGTTTTGTTAGGTAACATATCACATACAATTTCTTTGATGTCATCTTGAATTTGTCTAATTACTTCTTTATCACGTTGTATACATCGAAGAATTTGTGCTTGATCTGCTAAAACAGGCATGTTTCAATTATCAATGCTTAACAAGAACGTGTAAAAAAATAAGTAAAATACCAGGTGTCTGTCCTAATCAGAGAGTGTCCAAATCACGATATTCGAGAGATCTAATTTTATCTTAATTAACATACATGATGCACAGAAAAATTATGTAAAGCGAAGAATGGCGCGTTTTTTCTTCTATAACGACATCTGATAATGTAATTACCAAGATCACTGTCAACAGACCTGACCGTCACAATGCCAGTGTCAGCCCTGGGCAGAAACCTGCTTTTCGTGAGTGTGATCAAAAATTCAAAATTCCGCAACTTCTTCCGTACTTTGTCGAGTACATGACAAGACTCATCAACCGTCAACAACTCTTCTTAGTTCTTATCCTCTTTTCTAGAGTGCTCGAACCACCGTTCGATTTATTTAGTCGTGCACTTGACGTAAATCAGCTGTTGCGGTTTCATACAATCAGAAGCTTAGCTTTTACGTCGCTATAGTTGAATCACTAAGGAGACGTTCACGCTGCCGATTAGATGAAACCGTGAACAGCTGATTTACGTCAAAAGCATAGTTAAATAAGTCATAGTGTAGGCTCACAACACACTACACCGAGGAATGTTTCGTGATATGTGCGACGAGAAATGTGGAAAATCGGCAGAAAGAATGCTAATCGACCCTCACACACTTGAAAGAGTTTTCTCGTTCGCCTTTGCAGAGGCGAAAGAGTTCCTCGCTCGAGTCGGTCAGCGAGCAAGTTTGTCAACCCGTATTGATGGGGTACCTCTCATATGTTTTGTAAAACCCGCTTCTTACACATCCGCCATTATAAAATAAGGTACGCACAATAATTAAAATAATTAAAAGATGCTACGCCGATGTTGCCGCACTAACCAACTGATAACTGATTACTATCACAGTCCAACGAACGCTGCATTTGGAACTTTTGTTATGAGTCAACCATTGATAAAACAATTACTTGCTGCAAGAGTCATGGGACTCGGTTTACAATACTGTTGATACAAACGATAAATACAATTCTTTTCTCAGCGTTTCTTTTTTTTAAATTTTAATTTTAAAACTTGCTTTCCTCTTCAAAAGAGGAAATTATATTTCACGGAAAAGCAATTCTTGGATAACACAAGGGATTAGGGCATCATGTAAAAACAAACGAATTCTTTCTTTCATTTCTAAGCATCATAACGTATATCAAGGTTTTCTCCTCAACTTTAAAAACTTCAAATCATTTTTGAGAAAAGTCATAAGGCAGGCTAAAATCATGAAACATGACGAGGATATTTTGAACTCAAATAATAAAACAAAAGCAATGTGGAATATAGTAAAAAATTCGACCAAATCAACTAGAAACCTTGAAGAGAATGTTGTTTTAAAAGGTAACGATAGGAACGTGAACGATCCGGCAACAGTGGCTAGCCTCTTTAACCAATACTTGAGAATTGCTGCCGATCTCAGTAAGGGTCTTCAGCCACAAAATTCAGCATCAGATGTTTACCCAAAAATTTTACCCACGATGTTTGTTTCCCAAACTTATTCCCATGAAATTCTGAAAATAATCGGTAGACAAAAAAACAAATATTCGGCCGGTTTAGATGAATTTCCGGATTGTTTGTTAAAAGGCTTGCGCGCCCGCCATTATACACCCTTTATCTCACATATATAATGTATCCTTATGCACAGGAATTTTTCCAGATATTTTTAAAACAGCTAAGATTAAGTGGCTTTTCAAAAAAGGCAACAAAAATGAAATTAATAATAATCGCCCAATTTCTCTTTTGTCTTTTTTTCAAAAATATTAGAGAGACTTTTTTACGTAAGAATGGAAACATTTAGTAAACACGGCGCGTTTTCAGATTGCCAACATGGGTTGCGAAAATCAAAATCTACAGAAACAGCCATATTTTGTTTTCTTAAAGATGTCGCCTCATCCATGGATCAAAACGAAGCACGTATTGGAATATTTTTAAATCTATCGAAAGCCTGTGACGTCATTGATCATAACATTTTACTCTCAAAATTGCCTTCGTATGGAATTGGTTATGTTCGTACCTTAAACAACGATCTCAGTGAGTAGATATACCTTACTGGAGTAATGGAACATTATGTACACACGTTTCTGATTCTTTGCCAATTGCGTGTGGAGACTCGCAGGGGTCGATTTTAGGGTCGAATTCTCTTCCTACTGTAGGTAAACGATATGCCCTCGACGATTAGAAACGGAAGAACAGTTCTCTTTGCGGAATGATAGCGATAGGTTTTTGGCAATTAAAGAAACCGTAAATAGTACAATAGCAAGATATTCTCAAAATGGTTCGTGTAATAACAAATTAATAGCAAAGGTCTTGTGTTTTCTGCTGCAATAACTGTTTCTATAGCAATTATGAGACTATACGCGAGCATCGAAAGGAAAGTAATATTAATTACAACAATGACATTTAATGTATTATATATCATTTGATTGGTATAATTCTAATAGACCTATAACAAGTATTGTATTTCAGGCTTCTGGATCTATGATCCCCACCTCGATCAGGTTTTCGTCCAGTTTCCCTGATCCTCGAGCAAATGCTGAGATGGCCCCTTGTTTTGCTTCTGGACATAAAATGTAACTTCAAATTAACTTCTCCCCATAGCACGTCACACGCAGTTTTTAACTGTTTTTGACGTAAATAAATAAATAAAATCACCAGCACCGGACAACGGGTATAAGGATTTTTCGCCGCCATTACTCGACGTCTTCTTGTCGGCATATTTCGGTACAGTGGCCCCATTCAGAGTCTCCAGTAACCGTTTTCTGGATTTTACGGTCGTTTTCTTCTCAATTCCTTCATCTTTCATTTAATCGAGGAAATATAAAATTCCAGCAAGAACTATTTCAGAAACGAAACGTTACGACTACACACCTGCAAATCTAAGCAACGAATAAGACGCGGTATTAAGAATATATTTACATTACACACAAGGATATATTGTATTTGTTTGTATTAGGATCATTCAAAGGCTGAACAGACCTTAGACATTACTTCATGGAAAGACAGGCTGTTAGCTGTGCTGCAACTGCAGTTAATTATGGAGCCCTTCTTCTTTCCTTATCACAATGAAGGTGACGAACTCTTGTATAATGCTCCACTCTTTATTTGGTTTGAGCTTAAGTTCCACCATGTTTGATGGGAGATATCCACGTCCAAGGCTTCGTTCAATTTTCTTCTCTCAGTATCCCATGCCGTGCTTATCGTCTTCGTATCCACAAAATTCACATTTAGGGTCAGCTGCTCTTTTAAATCTAAACAGATATGATTGAAAGCAGCCGTGTTCTAAGAGCACTTGGGAATGGTAATAATTTATCTCCCCGTGGCTTCTGCTGAACCACGGTTCGATATGTGTTATCATCACGTAGGTCCACCTTCCTTTGGTGGAGCTGTCCCACCTCATTTGCCATTCTGTATGAGAGACGTCCGTGTTCTATTCTTGATGTCCTCTTTCGTCCTGCGCAGAGGTTCGTCACGAGCGAGGTCAGATAACTTCATTTCGCCGTAGAACGCTTTCTACTCTCTCGCCAACATGTATGTTGGAGATACGCAACCCTACTGCGTTGTCAGAGACCATGCGGTAGGCTGACACTACTCTCAACGCCAACCTCTTTTCAACTTGCATGTCCCTCGATCTCACGCTAGTTTTGCCCAGGTTATCAGCACACACTCAGGCCGCATACAACTGTTGGGAATGAACTGCACAAAAGTCCATTCCACGTTTCGCCTCTTTTGGACCCCCCAGATTTGGCATTAATCTGGAGATGCCGGAGCATGTCTTTGCTGCCTTGTCCGGAGACTTGTTAATGCGCGGACCAAAGATGAGTCTGTCGTAGATCTCGACTCCCAGATAGCTTATTTGGCGACTCCAGTTGATGTTCACATTCCTCAGACGAATATTTGGGGGAACGGAACGAAATTTAAACTCTTGTAACTTTCAAAAATTCAAAGTTAAGACTAAAATTCCTATATACTCCCTATAAAGTACCTATACAATCTTTAAAAGGTTATTTTATCTCTTCTTACCACAAATTTGAAGAAAAAGTTAGGAAAAAATAGACTTTTGTTTCAGGGGTTACTTCTAAAGCAGCCCGAAATTTTAAAATTTTTTTTTTCAAACTGGCTAAGCTTTGAAACATGCCATATTGATCGGGGCTTATTCTGCTGCTGCTACGTGATGACGACAAATTGAACTAGTGTCGGTACATTTAGCCTTAATTTTAGGAGGTACTTTACACAAAACACGCCGGACAGTTTCAAAATTAAAAAAAAAGGCTTCAATTTTTTAAATTAAATTTTGTTGTTGGATATGCGAATGATGTTTAAGAGAACGGTGCACGTCTCATTTTCATTGAAATCCCTAATTTTTCGAAAATTACAAAAATTCAATTTTTTTCGGGTCATTCTACAACTGTTACATTGAAGATAGAGATTCTTACATCAAACAAAGTCTATTGTTCAAAATTAGCTCTTTAAAAAGGTCATGTTCAATTTTTTGAAAAATGAGTCCTTTTTGTCTAATTTGCGCTTGAAATTTACGCAATTGTTTTATCAAAATGGCTCAAATTTTCTCTTCACATTTTCTCCACATACGTAATAAGGGACGGTAAAAAAATATGGTAGTAGTCCCATCTTCGGATAATGCTCGTTTTTTCGAAACTTGCAAAAAATAAAAACTACAAATTTGAAGATATAGTGATTTTTGCTTAGTCTGTTGTACAAAAATAGCTCTTTAAACAAGTGGTGCTATTAATGGCACAGACTTTCTCGTATTCGTTTTTTATGTTTTGGTCTAGGCCAACTGAACAAAATTGCTCCATCCTCTCGCCAGTTGCGATCTATTTCCGTACAAAGTACGTGTTTTTTTTTAAATGTTCTCAATCATTTCCTAAAGGTTTCCTAATAGCAGAACTGATATATTTACTTTAAGAATATTACAGAAGAGTAAAATCTCCTCCGATTAGAACAATTGTTGTTGAAAACTTTGGAATCATTTTTAAGAAAATGGGGTTAAAGCGTTACTATAAATACAAAATTGAATTCTTTTTACACAGAAATCTATTGAGTTTTCAAAAACGTCATTTCTAGTCTTTTGAAGTACTTCCACTCACAAATGCAATAACATATACAAATCGCTGGAAATGCGCATATTAAAGGCGTGAGAGATATTTACAAAAATTGCATTTCTGAAATTTAAAAAACAAACAAAAGAATACAACAAAAATAATTTAGTGTCATCTTAAATAGTACAATCACTACTTTCCGTACGAAAAGTTTGAAGGAAAAATTTGTGGCCTTTTTTGAGAAAATGACGTTTAAAAATCTTAAAGATGTGAGTGATATTTAAAAAAATCAATCGTGTAATTTTTGAAAAATAAACAAACGAATACTTATACGTCATCTTAAACAGTGCAGTTAGCACTCTTCGAACAAAGATTTGGAATAAAAAGTTTGGACCCATCTTTGAGAAAAAGGCATTTGAACGTTTATAAAAATGCAGTGAGATCGTTTATAAAAATGAGTTTCGAGAAACTTTACTTGACATCAGTTGAAGCACATGTGCTCGTAAAAACTTAATAATGTGAACAAATCGCCGCTAATGTAAATAGTATAAATAAAATTAACTTTTGAAAAAACAAAACAATAGAGCAAAATAGCGTTTATGCCATCTCATAGAAAATACTTAGCATTATCAGTACCAAAAGTTTAAAGGAAAAATGTAGCCTTTTTTGACAATTTATCATTACCTTAGCGATGATGCTAAAGTACTGCTCTATAAGAAAATGAAATGTATGAAACATTTGGTTCCACATGCCCTTTCATCGGTTATGAAAAGTTCCAACGAATTTCGAGCCCTTGTACTATTAGTGTGCAGGTGCCTCCTTCCGTATATTTTGATAAACTATCGGCGTTTGCACTATTGGCTTTGCATCTCGCGGCCACACGGAACTGTGTGCTGCAAAGCTATGGGATGGACATCTGTAGGGAGTTAGTATACCCTCGAACGTTAAAGCAATATCGATCTTCTGCGCATGTGTAGTTTAGTGCATCTGCGCATGCGGAGAAGATCGATAGTGCTGTCCACTTTGGCGTGCATCATAGTCTTATAACTACAGTTGTGTAGTTGTATAACATCTTTGGCGTGCACAAACTCCAAAATGTGTTAGTTCATTGGTAGGAAAACGGAATTTCTTTGGAGTCGAACAGGCGTGTTTCGCCGAAACGTGCTCGTATGCTGTCGTATGCTTTGGTACCGATGTTGCGCATGTGCATGTGTTGTGATTAAAGGCAGAGCTGATGAGATTTGTTCCTTTCTAGTAAATCTTAGTGAAAAGTGGTGATTTAATTAAAAACCATAAACATGTCGGTTCAGCAAAAGGTATTAATGCGTAAAATTTCTAAAAGTCAAAAGAAAAAGTTAATGCTCTCTCAGAAGAAAGAACAGGAAGGTGAGTTACATGACGTTAACATGTTCATAAAACCACATGTTTTAAACATAGGCAGTAGAAACGAAGTAATCTTTTTTCTGTTTCACCCTTGCAGACGAAGACTTAAATGACGAACTGGAGTCTGAGGTGTCAAGTGCGAGTTCGACTAAGCGTATTAAAGATACAGACGAAAGTGAGGGTCCAGTGAAAAAGAGTAAGTTTAGGTCGTACGTATTTCATTTCAACCTTTATAGCAAAGACTTATAAAAGTATTATAATATAGTTTATATGTGTAATTTTCCTATTAATGTGAACGGCATGATACAATTTCTTTAACCCGACAATAAACGCGCCTCTTTCTGTAGCATCAGTTCATGCACCTAGTCTCGCAGACCCTTCCTGCTTGCTCTTAACTCATTTCCCCCTTCTAATTTCGATCAAGGGAGTGTAAAAGCAAAAAGATGGATATACTTTCAAATAATTGATAATGGTGTTTAGTAATTTGTATACAAATTAACAAAAGTGAACAAGTGAAATAGTCTGAAATATTATTTTCGTTGTATTTCATATATTTTACTTATGTCAACTTTCCTTCATTGTACGCTCTACAAACTGTGAATGCCCCAAACAAATATTTCCATATTTTGCCTATTTGCCATCTATATTTTGCTAAGTCTCTTAATGTACTCGACTAAGGACATTGAACTAGTACATGCAGGTGATCTCCAAGGATCATGCAGTAGCAATGCAGGGATTTAAATTAGCCCTTAAACAGACAAGTGATATTAGACAGATAAAAAACTGGTATATTAGTAAGATTTTTAATTTAGGCTGAAATATAGTATACAGTACAACCTAAGGAAGTGGTTTAAACCGTAACTTTGTGCCATTCCAGTGTTTACTAGCAAGTTAGTATTCTGGAGTTTTTCTTGACAAGTGAGGTCTTATAAAAGTGAATTGGTAATTATGCATTGGATAGACTCAAGTATGTTTATAGTGAATGCAAGGGCCGAAGGCCCGAGCCTCACCGTGAATCCGGGTGAGCGAAACGAGAAAACTTGCCTTTGAATGTAAACTGGCCTTACAATGTGGTGGGGACAAAGCATATGAAGGGCGAACCATGAAAATCGCCTATCCGTTAGTTTTATTCATTTCTATTAGAGCATGTACAGTAATTAGGGCTTAAGCCCCGCCGCCACGCTTCTCTAAGTGTGGTACCGTACACTAAATTTTAACCTTAATTTAATATTGATCTTCAAGAGGGTTTGTGGTAATTTTGGAGAAAGAAAACCTTATAAGCTAAACCTGATGTATGAGGAATAAAAGACTAATTCTTTTTTACTCTTACAGCTAATATGATTATTCTTGTATTGTATTGATATTAATACTTATAATTATGTATTGTTTTTTATTCCACAGAAAAGAAAAAATCCAAGAAGGAGAAAACTAATGAAGCCAGCAATCCAGTTGATGAGACTGAACTTGCAGTGTCAGATGATGAGTATCAAAAACACAATGAAGATCTAGGACAAAAATGTAAGACATTTTATTGTGTTTCTTGAGTACACAATTTTAGTCTAGATATAAGTGAAGAATGGGTGCTAATAACTGCAATGTTTCTCAGTACCAGGATCTGGAATTGGTTTGGGAATATTATCAGATACCTCTTTCAAGTCTCTTGAAAAGGTTGTGTGTGACCAGACTTTAAAAGCTATTAATGACATGGGCTTTACAAAAATGACCGAAATTCAAGCTAGAAGTATTCCTTCTTTGCTGGAAGGACGCGATTTAGTTGGGTCAGCAAAAACTGGTTCCGGCAAAACTTTGGCTTTCTTAGTGCCTGCTGTGGAGTTGATCTACAAATTGAAATTCATGCCACGTAATGGTAAGTGGTACATTTTTTCTGTGTTTAAAAGTGTGAATTTGACTATCAGCTTGTGCATTAAAAACTAATAACTGATTTTCAGGAACTGGCTGTATTATTATATCCCCAACAAGAGAGTTATCTATGCAAACATTTGGAGTTTTAAGAGAATTGATGAAATATCACAATCACACATATGGGCTCTTAATGGGTGGAGCAAATAGAAATGCTGAAGCACAAAAATTATCTAAAGGTATAGTATGAGGTTGAATGTTGCTGTACTGTTAAGAGCAGAGAGGGAAAGGGGTGTACAGGAAGGAGTGAGGGACTCTATTAAACTTGTTCTTTCAGGCAGTTGTTATTTAAGTTGCCACAAATTACTGACTGATTCTATTAGCCTGTTCAAGCACAAGTATGTAATTTTCCCTGTTGTAAAAAAGTATTGAATAATAACATAAAGATGCATTCACATGGGATACTTTTTTCTCAAAGAATAAGTCTTACAGTGATTGGGACCCGAATGTCCTCGCATAATCAGTTATGGAATAAGATGCAGGATACTTATTGAAGTTTCGCGACATCAGAATTCACTTGTCCATGAAAACTGGCTTTAAAATAATTTTTGATATAACAAACATTTATGAACTTTAGAATCAATATTTGTTTACTTTTTACCATGAATACTGATTTGACTTTTCTAAAGCATTATTTTCGGCTCAACTGGAGAATCTAACCTCACCTGATGCAGTGTCACCACCAACTTTTCTTGGATAGGAATAGCTTGCCTCATTACTGTATCATGTTTGGAGAAAGAAAAGCGAATCCACAATGCCAAATTTTTTATTTGTGAAGAATCCAGTTAGTGAAAATTGCTTAACTGTGTGCGTGTTTGTTTTGTGAACATCAGTGACATTTGTGTCTGGCACTCCAGGGTCAAATGTTGGCAATAGAGTCCCGTGTAAATGCATCTTTAGTTCTTTCACTTCAAACCAAGCAAAGAAATAAATACTGATAAACAACACATCTGGAAATATTTTGGAACTAAATAGTGTCATTAATCTGACATGCCTTAAGCCTTGCAATGCAAGAAAAGTAAACAACTCTAATATGTTTTGAAATGCAACCTTACTTGTTGCAGAAAATTCATTGGTTTATAAAATAGGTTGATGTTTTCCAGTATGAAAATATTATTTTATCTTGTCTGTTTGTAAATGACAACTAATCTTCATTGTTGTTTGGCATAAGAATGCATTGGTAATTTTGCTTTGATTTCTAAGAACTAAGAATGATAAATCGTATTCAGAAATGCAGTGTAAATAATAATGATAATAAGTGATGTGAATAAAAATAAGTAAATGTAATGTTTATACTGTACTCCAATTTAGACATATTGGCACTTAAAGGCCACGAGCTAAGCAGAGAGGAGGACAAGATCGTCTGATCTGAAGTATCGTTAAGACTTAAATTTTTGGCATTATATCTCTCAATTGAATGATAATGCCCCCCCCCCCTTCCTTTTTCTTCCAGCTTGTGACCTTTGTGTGCTATGTTTAATTTGGAGTTGAGAAGCTTTCGAAGTACTTACATTTTAATGAAAAAATTTCAAGAGCCAAGTGTTACTTGTAGTAAATACTATTTACTTAATCAATACCTACTTTTGGAACAAGAACAATTTTTCCAGCATTTACTTAAAATTGAGTGAATAAAAATAAGATTTTGTTTGATTTTTTTCATCAGTAAATAGTGCAAAATTTTTAAACATAGGGGAAACTGCACTTGCAAAAGTTTTTATGTAAAGATCAGCAAACGTGGTTGTGTTTGGCGCCATAGAAATTGTATATTAGTGCTTGAATATGCACAAAAGAACAACATATAAAGTATATGATGATAATAATTGCAATTGCATTCTTCATTTTATGAAGCCTAAAACACTACTATAGTTGTGTTATTAATCATGAAACTAATCAGCTGAATTACTTTTAATTTCATAACATTGTAGAGGGGTTATAAAAACAATCATGGGACCAGAAAGGAAGAAATGAAACAGGCCATTTTTATAAAAGTTAATAATTTATTTCATATAATATCTAAGGATTATGGAAACTTCTCAACATTGCAATTTAGTATTAAACAAGATGTAGTATTAAGCCCTGAAAGGGAACTGCATACCCAGCAAGTTATATTACAAGTAATAATCAATTAGTAAAGGAAATGCAAATAGAGGGGAAGAAATAAGCAGATTAGAAAGTAACAAGAAACTGTGAAGCGTTGGTAGGGGAGGGATTTAATTTTTTTTTAAACTTTCCAACATGTGAAATAAATAATTCTAAATAAATGCTTTTACTAGATATTTCCGTCTAGAAGTAAATAATTAGCTTTTATACACACCACCCAAGTTCCGGATGAGGATGCAGCCTCCTTGAGGAATCTGCCTAATTGACAGCTCTTCCTATTTTGCAAAATATCTTTCATTTTACTGAAGTTGTTTGAAAACAGTTATAAATAAGATCATCAAGCCATGCAATACTAAAGTTTTAAAAGTAATCTGAAAAAGTTTTCTTAAAACATGTGAAAAATCCACTACGAAAGTGTTGGATTTCCTTTTTTTCTTCAAATGAAGCTGAATATATTTTTTAATGCTTTATTTGCTAGAGCACAGGTTGTTATGTCTCCAGCATCGCCTTTAATTAAGGTGTTGTGTAAGAAAAAATTCAGTATTCACTTAAAAAATATGTCTTTAAAATTCACTGCAAAAATCATGTTAACCTAGGGTTTCCAGATGTGTTTATTTAACAGGACATGTCAATATATTTAGCAATTGTCTGTACTTATTTTCCAAAATTAGCAAATTATCCGTATTTTCATGTTACAAATAGCGATAGTCGCACTGTAAACATGCTTTTATCCTAAAATTACGTTTGCTTACTTTCTTCACTGCAATGTTTTTCACATTAAGTTAGTGTACTGTGTGCCAATGTTGCGTCGTGGGTCTTGGGCATGTTAAAATTTGATAGTTTTTGTTTGTCTATGCTTCGTATCACACTCCTTATATCGTAAGCTGTGAGCGTACCTTTCTATGAGAATAATGGCCAATTTCTAAGAACAATTATGTATATCTACTACACCCACCACATTTCTGTGAGACAAATTTCTACACAACAAATATTACCAATTCTACCTACTTTAACAGAATAAAATGTTAATTACCTAAACCTAACAAATAATCTAATGTACAACACCAGAATCCTGATACCTTATTTTCTCAATAAATATAAAATGTCACGTAATGGTTGTGCACGCCTTTGAATGATTTGGGAAAAGAACTTGACATCTCATCATTACTATCTTGAATATACAACATTGTAATATTGTCCTTGCTATTTTGTCATATTAAATCCACTCCAATTCTTCCTTTTATTGTTTATAAAACCATCTCCCCTCCAAACTGCACATCCACAATTCAGTACGCATTCACACACCATCTCTGGTTTGATCAAAGCTCTTGATCTCTGCTGTGCAAAGCGAGCGAGCAACTTTCTCAATAATTTATTTATTTTAAATACAATGTGGCATAAACCCATTATAGGATATTTGCAACATAAGTTACATAGTGTTGGTAACATAAGAAAGTGGCCTATTGTATAACAGAAATTGAGTTGGATAAAGATCAATATCTGATCCCAATGAGGCACATAAATTATTTACTATTATCTAATATTTTGTATAATCTGGAGTTTTAAGTAAAACGATTTTCAGTATCGTAATAATGTAATGGAAGGTAAAAGTGCAAAGTAATTGTTTACTTTTCCCTATCGGGCAGTATATTTGGAAACGTGCCATGGAAACTTTCCGGATATTTAAGACACATTTGACATCTGTATTTCCATCTCCTATGCATTCTTGGCGAAGTGTTCATTTGTTATCACTCGCCTTACAACCAATGCTTCCATTATGTTCATGCTTATTCTTCATGATTTCACACATTTTATTAATTATTTTTTTGTTTTAACTATAACACATTTTGATCTGTCACATGCTTTATGGAACAAACCTTTTATGAACTTCTTGGTATGTAAGAAACAGTTGTCGTGTAAAAAAATAGTCTACTAGTAAGTTTATTCTGAAATTCATGAAAATTGTTTTTTAATTTATTGCGATATTATCTAAGAATATTTAATTTGTTCTTTAGCAGTGTGCATGCTACTTTATAGAAAATCATATTGCGTTGTTTTGTTCATTGCTTTTGCTGCTGCAGTCCACTAATTCACCTTGAAAAACTAACGAAGGTATGAAGTGATGTAGCCCACAAAATAATCTTCCTTTACAAAACAAAAACATTGGAGTTTTTGTTTTACCGTTTAACAATACTGTTTGCTTTCATTTGACGTTTATCTGAAATTGCAGAAATGTAACGCATATTTGTTTCAATTATTTTATTTGTTCATTACAATAGGAAATAAAGGATGCATTATTGTCCTTTATTCGTGGAAATTAGGTGTCATTCATCAATTTTACATTTGATATTTTACACTACTTTTACAAAATCCCATTGTTTCAGTGTTTAATTTGTTTGTCCTATTGTTCCTAAAAGTCCTAATGCCAAGAAATTTAAGTTATTAAGGCTCCATTAATTTTAAATTTTTTTAATTTCTCTTTAATATGATAAAATTTTGCATTTGAATGTGAATATTTAAATAGTTTGCTTATATTTCTCATATTTTAGGTATTAATATAATAGTGGCCACTCCAGGAAGACTATTGGATCATCTTCAGCATACTCCAGATTTCTTGTTCAAAAATTTGCAATGTTTGGTAATTGATGAAGCTGATAGAATCCTTGAAGTTGGATTTGAAGAAGAAATGAAGCAAATTATTAATCTATTACCGAGTAAGTAATTATAAGACTCTTAATTAATTAATTAATATAGCCATTGGTTGAAATACTTCAATATGAGGAAACAGCATTTGTATGTAGGAAATTGCAAGAGCATTGATATCTGATGATTTGATTGGGGCTTAATAATTTCAGAGAGAAGGCAAACAATGTTATTTAGTGCTACGAGTAACAACAAGACTGAAGAACTAACTAAGTTAGCTGTGAAACAGGAACCTATATATGTTGGGGTTGATGATCACAAAGATGAAGCCACAGTAGCAGGGTTAGAACAAGGTAAGAATGTCATTTAGAGTACTGAATACTTTCTGAAAATGAGCTTTAATCTTTGACTAGTGTGATGATGTATGTCACCTTAAAGGAAGTCTTGTTCTCAGCAGAAGTAATGACACATGTCAAGTTTTCTAATGTGATTGCAAATGAGGTGGATGAAGTTGAAGCTTGCTCTGTGAAGTGAGTTTTTCACACCCTTCAACTCTGCTTTTGTGTCACTAATGTAATAATTATAATTCTCTGTTGTCTGGAAGGTGGTCATTATGATGAGGTGATTGTGAGATTTTGAGGTTATAGTTGTGAGGTTACATTGTGTAGCGTTCCATTTACGGGAAAATTATTTATTTATTGGTAATGGTTAATGAAATTGTAAAATTAGTATTGACCATGAAAGATAAGGAGCTTTTGTTGTTAATCAAGTGCATGTGCAATATTTCAATGGCATATTTGCTAGAATTTGCATATTATTTACATTCCTCAAAATGGTACACCGATGGAATGTTTTGAATTGTTTTTCATATTTAAAAAAAGTGATTTAATAGTAGGACAGACTGTTTGTTCAGGTTGTAAATTCATATACAAAATATTCATATATGCCTAGGGTATTCAGTGAATGCACTTTGCGATGGCTGGTAATATTTGTGAAATTAAACTAAATTTACGCTGTATGAGGAAAAGCCACACCGAGAGAGAAATCTCGCCAGTGCAGATACAGTGAAATCTCTGTGTAAAATACATCTTAAAATTATTTTATTTATACTTTATACTGAAAAGTATTTTGAAAACACAAATTTACGAATTTATTTTTAATAGTTTACCTAATAAAACAAAAATAAGGAAAAAATATTTCGTTCATTAAAATATTCTCTGTAAGTTGTTTTGTCATTTTGAGCAAGTTGCTTTCCACAAACAGTTCTACCCCAAATAATGATTTGAGGACTGTCGCAGGAACATTTATATTTTTCTGAACAAAACTTTTAACTTCTTAAGACAATTCACTGCCTCTGTTGAAGACCACTATTTCATTATTCTCTGTTTATTCTTGTAGTTTTTCCTTCCCCTCTTCATTAGTTTCTTGTGATGTAGTCAAAGATTCAACTAGTGGTGCTACAGAATGGCACAGACTTTTTTTGTGTTAGTTTTCCATTTTCTTCAGTCTGGTGCAGCTATTCCAACTAGACATACACTTTTGCCAGCTGCCTTCTATCACAGCCCAAAGTATATTTTTTCATCACAATCTAGATACCAGACGTCACTTGTATTGCCTGCTCCCGCTTATGACTGAACTGCCTAGCAGTTGCCTGTCTGTCAGCCCTGTCCGTCCGCCCTGTCCTTGCCGTTGCCTGTCTGTCCGCCCTGACCTCTCCGTGTCGTGTCTGTCAGACGTGCCCTTGCCAAGTCTTGTCTGCCTGCCCTGCCCTTGCCGTGTTCTGTCCGCCTACCTGGCCTAGCCATTACCTGTCTGCTCTACCGTCACCTGTCAGTTGGTATCAAGGACTAGCAACACAGAATCTGGCTTTACAACATATTAGAGAAAGTAATTTACTTGATGTAGAAGAGTGAATTATCTACTTGGTTTCAGGGACCCAAGGTTGAGTTTTTCTTTTGAAAAATAGGAAATATGGAAACAGAACTCAATTCTTGTGGAACAAATAACTTACAAGGATAAATTTTAATTAGAACCAAATTGTGTATTTGTTTGTTTTTCCCTTTTCTTTCTTAGTTTCGATAAAAAAACTAGAATTCTGGTTCCGTTTTGGTTGGGTTCTGGCGCAAGTTGTCCCAGGTGCCGCCCCCCACCTTTCCCCTATGCCCCCTCCCCTTCTGGACTCCCCTAGCAAATGCCAATGAGGATATTAGCCAAATTTGAGAATTCGGTCTTACTTGGACCTGGAGTTCCATGACATAAACTTTCCGAGAGCGATAATTTAAACTGAGGCATAATAATTTCAGACCACTTTTGTTCATGCTCATTTCTTTTGTTTGACTTAAATAATTATTATAGTAAACTTCCACTTTTTTGTCATTTCAGGTTATGTTGTATGCCCTTCAGAAAAAAGGTTTCTTCTACTTTTCACGTTTTTGAAGAAGAATCGTAAGAAGAAGATTATGGTGTTTTTTAGCTCGTGTTTGGCTGTGAAGTATTATAATGAGCTCTTGAATTACATTGATTTGCCTGTGATGTGCATTCATGTATGTATTTCCAATTCTATTTTAATAATTTTATTATTTGTCATTCTTAATAGTTACTATGTGAGTCAATATATGCAAATGTCTCATATGTAAATATGTTAGAATAAATTTGCATCCATTTATGGAAGGGTTTTATACATTTCATTCATTTTCAGGAAAAATTACACAAGAACTGCTAGTTTTTTCAAAAAATTGTATTGAAAGAATAATTGCTTAGAACAAATTCCATTAACAAAAATCTGTCATCAATATCGTTGTTTCGCAATGTTGTTTGCATTTTTCGAAAGTACAGGGTTTTCACTGAAAATGGTACCTGGACTGATTTTATAAGATAATATTGCTCTTTTCAAGAGAGAGAAAAGTTTGTACTGTTTTGAGAAAGTAATTGCTTGTATGGATTTCATGCAAAGTTATATGAAAATAGCCCATTCTTTTAAAAAATTATACATGACCTTATTTTAAGATCAGTCTTTGATATTTTGTAGTTGGAGAAGTCTCCAACTTGGAATTTTGAGTGTTTGCAATTTTATCACATTCGAAGTTCAACAAAAACAAAGTGAACAAATGAAAAGCTTTTTCTTTTACCTCACCAACATCTTATAATTTGCTGTGGTGTTCCCTGCTTCTGCAATTCAGTTCTTTAGGGATTAAAATTCTATTCTCACTAACTTATGAAATTATGATCTTGCTACACCTTGATATTTCACTGAAATTCAGTGTCTGCAGTATGAGATTAAACCAAATTTTGACAATCACCTGTGACTCTGCATGACTGTGACACATGTAATGCTGCCTAGTGATGAATTTCTTGAGGTGCAAGAAAAGATGGTAATTGCTGAGGGTGAAATCTGAACTATTGGATGAATAGTCATATACCTCCTTGAGGAAATGCAGCAGAAGATATGATGTGAGCAGAGCTGTATGACCATTCACACTCTAGTCTGGATTTTGCCCCCAGCGATCTTTTTGTATACAAAAAGAAATTCCTATCAGGTCACCGTCATGCATATTACAGTACGCAGAGTTGCAGGTGGCTGTCAGACCAGGCGAAGAAAACAGTGTAAAATGCATGGTATTGGCTACAATAAAGTTAGTAAGAAATTGTATTTGTTTTATTTTTTGTTGTTGAGATGGCCAAGAAAACGTACTTTGCAAATGTGCCTCATATGTATTATTGCAAATGATTTATTCCATGTCATTAATGTATTATTACAGGGTAAACAAAAACAAGAAAAGCGAACAACAACATTTTTCCAGTTTTGTAATGCTGATACAGGCATTTTATTGTGTACTGATGTAGCTGCAAGAGGTTTAGATATTCCTGCAGTGGATTGGATTGTTCAGTATGATCCTCCAGATGATCCAAAGGTAATTAGTTATTAGATAGTTAATAATTAACGGTGGCAGCATCAAGCTGTTGTACACATATCTTACAACGGTGTACTAAAATTATACAATAAATTACTTTCATAGAGTAACAATGTTATAATTGAATCACTGATAGTACATGTATATCATAATATCTCTCTCTCTCTCTCTTCCCTTTTCTGAGCAAGTGTTTGCTGGTGACGCGCTGTGTGACCTTGTGTGGTGGACTGTTACATCTAAAGTATCCGTTAAACGTTAGTCGCAAAAAATCAAAATTACTCAAAAAAATGCTTATCT